GGAAATATCTTTCCTGGTTATACATACGCATCTGGAGCTTACGGTTAAACTCGTTGGTCAAGAGCAGAGGATCAAGTGACAAGTGTCTGAAGGTGAGCCAACATAAATTATCTTCCCTTTTCTATTCTGTCCTTTTGCTGCATTCAGTCTTCAACCCTCTTATTGTTGTTAACTACTTGTTTTCCCAAGAAGTTTATATCATAGCGACATGTCTGCCCAAAACGCTAGGTCTGAAGCTTTGACACGGATAACGCGGTCGTGCACAAAAAGGGCCAATAACACCCTAAACAACACACTAGTCTGTACTAGAAGACAAACAGAGGTAGGGCAGAACACCGAACTTCTAAAGAAGTGGCCAACCCATGTTTCTAGAATTCCAGTCGCCATCAGACAGGTGACACAGAGTAGCACTAGCCCGTCACAAACTAGTCCTATCTTGAGCAAGGATCATACCATGCCTGAAATAGAAGACGACGTAAAAGGCTTCAGAACAAGGCAGCCACAAGCAGTTCGCCACAATCCGTAGCACCTTATTCATGGAAGGAAGGCTGTATTACGACACCCGATGGCTGCAGTGTTTGCACCAAAGTTGTTTCGGTAGTCGATGAGGCATTTGCATGCAACCTATGTCAACGATGGGCGCATTGCCACTGCGACACCAAAGTCCCCCGACAATACTATAAGCTGATGAAGAGACAACCATGCAAGTGGTTCTGGTACATCTGTCCAGAGTGCAGGAAAATGCCCGCACTCCGCACAGAAAGCCTGAAGGAGATGCTCTCCGCCACGCAAAAGCTACCAGCATCCTCGAATAAAGTAGGGTTAACACCAAAGGATAACACAGAGAGACCTGGAAACAGACCTAGAGCTCCAGCTGTGGGCACGCCACCTCGCGTGGGGACCATATTAGGTCAAGTCTCCATACCTCCTACCCGGCCCCAGGGGACGTCAAGCGCATGGCCAAAGACATCGACCGCTAAGCCTCTACGAAACCCATTCCAAACACCCCACACACCGTGACTGAGAAACAACCAGTGGAATTACTCAAACCCATTGGGAAGTCGGCGTGCCACCCACAACGAACCCAGGTCACAGGAGGACCAACTCGATCATTTTGTTCAACGTCGATGTATCGACAGACTCATTGTTGGTCGAGAGGGAACGGTTTGACAGCCGAATGTGGACCGACTACTGTCAGATGCTGGGACTCCCTCCCCTCCCTGCAACTTTATGTCGCCTTTCTCGAGGAAGCCGTGCACCCCGAGATAAGCCACCCCCTTTACGTGTGTCCCTAAATACTACCAAAGAGGCTGAAGACACACTCCTCTCTCGCGACAACCGGACGTTGTTAATGCCTGTAAAATTCGGGCCAGGCCTGACAAGCCATGGTCAATAAGAGAGGAGGAGAGAAAGTCAGCGGTTGGAAATCCCAACAGAAACAACACTATAGTTGTACATGGGATTCCAGAATTGCCAAGTGACAGCTCGGTCAAAGATCGGTACTTTCACGACGTCCAACAATGGCAATGGCTCTCAACCAAAGTTGGTCTCAACAGTATACCGGCCAACAGCGTCAGTAGACTGCCAAGGCCAGCGCACCTGAAGACCATACCCAATCCCAGACTACTCGCCGTCCAGTTCGACTCATATGCCTCCCTCACAGACGTTCTACAGGCATGGTATAATGCGAAAGATCGCATGGGTGGCTCAATACGTATATGTGAAAGTAAGCCTAGACCCACAAGGCAAGAGGAGAGACGGCAACCACCAAGACCTCTGGAGTCAGTGGTCGTCACACAGGCGCTGACCAGTGAGTTAGATACATCAAGTAAAGAAGCCACCACTGCCACAGCCCCCACCCAAGTTAAAACAAAACACAAAAAACGGAACAATGCCAGTCCTATGAGGACTGGCGAGGGTAGACCCAACCACATAAGCGCTCATCCTGCGAAAATACACAACCAGACCTCCCCTCTCACCAGGCACACTCTAATATGTATGTACAGCAACGTTAGGGGGCTAAGAGGGAAGGTAGCAGAAATGAGGACGCTGCGTGCACATCAGCACTCCGACATCATATTCATCACCGAATCCTGGCTCTCGCCGGACATCTCCGACGAAGAGATGCATGTTACTGGCATGGAACTCTTCCGCAGGGACAGGGAACATAGAGCAGGAGGGGAGTGGCTATCTACGTAAACTCCTGTTTAAAGGCAAGGATGGTTAGCGATACGGCCTTAACCCAGCTCCCAGAGTCTCTATGGTGCTACTTCACTCTCCACAGTACCAAATACCTGCTCGGAGTCATATATCGGTCCCCCACCAGCTCCCCTACACATAAGGAAATGATCATCAAGGCTATCTTAACGACTTCCTCTGCAAATTACGATTCCGTAGTCATTGCCGGCGACTTCAACACCCCGTCCATCCTCTTCGAGACGGAAGGGAGACGCATCAGATCCTTCAATCAGAAGCTGAAGGATGCAATTAAGACTGCTGGCCTCTCAGAGAAAGTGGGTGATGCTACACGCTGGGGACCTAACGGAAACGCATCGCGCCTTGACTACGTTCTGACGAACGATGAACTTCTCATTGAGGATGTTTGCATCCAACCTCCCCTTGGCCTCAGTGACCACGCTGTAATCACCTTCTCCATGATAACTAGGGAGGCTCTGCAACTGGAGACGCCCAACACCTTCCCTTGCTACAGCAAGGCCAACTATGAGACCATGAGGGACTACCTCATGAATGCATCATGGCCAGTGGACTGGACTCATCTCACAATAGATGAACACTGGTTGGAGGTGAAGAAAATAATCACTGGGGCCATCAGTCACAGTGTACCAGAAGTAACACACAGACAATCAATGAGAACCTCATGGTTAAAGCGTGGGACAGAGAGGCTTATCCAGAGCAAGAAGCAGGCTTGGTTCAAGTGGCGTACATCACGCAGGGAGTCTGACTTCTTGAACTACAAGGATTCGCAACCACTGTAACATTAGAGTGCGTAGCGACAGATTTTCCCATCAAACAAACTTGGCGGTGAGGTTACAGAGCAATCCCAAAAACTTGTACCGCTTCATGTCGAGAAGAAAGTCGACCAGTAAGGGAGTGAATCTTGTCACAAGCCATGACGGGAGTATGCTGGGCAGTCTAGAGATTGCCAAGCTTTTGAGCTCACATTTCCCAGCCCAACTTAACACTGACACAAGATCCACACCGACCAGGTCGTAAATAACGAATACCTCTGTCAAGTCTCTATTACAGAGAAAAAGGTGTTTGACAGCGTCCCATCCATACTACTGCTTCACAAGATCATGTCAGCTGGTATAAGTGAACCCTCACATTCTTGGTTTAAGGAGTACCTGGAAGGGAGGCAGTTCTGCACTAAGGTAGACAGAATAAGATCGGAGTGGAGACCCTCGACGTTAGGATTATCCCAAGCAACAATCCTAGAACCGCTTCTGTTCCTCCTGTTTGTCAACGATCTGCTAGATAAAATATCTCCACCCATCCTCCTCTTCGTTGACGACATAAAAATTTGGAGGTTGGTAAACGAAGAAGCTGATTGCACAGCACTACAAAAGGACTTGCAGCAACTCGAGCTCCGGTCAGTGGAAAATGGCCCGAGCTTCAACCTGGAAAAGTGCAAAGTTATGCACATCAGCAAAAATGAAGCAAGTACGACCGACTTCCAGTACATGTTGAGCAACCGTGCTATCACCAGAGTGTCCATGGAGAAAGATTTGGGGCTCAACTTCTCCGACACCTTGGACACCAGCTCCAACTACAAAGGTATGACAACCAGAACGAATGCAATTCTACACTTTCTGCGTAGACAGCTCGGCGCTCTCACTCCCGAACTCTTCCTCACCATTTTCAAATCCTACGTGCGGCCGCATCTAGAGGTCTTCAATACGGTGGCTCCTCTAACACTCAAGAGAGACTCTAATCTCCTTAAAAGAATACAAAGAACTGCAACAAAATCGGTTGTGGGGCTGAGGGGAAAGACGTCCTGAAAGACCTAAACACCTCAACCTATTTACCTTGGGTTATTGCAGGCAAAGGGGTGACATTATGGCATACAAGATCGCCCATCAGGCAGACCATGCAAACAAATCAACTTTGCCTGCAACTCAACGATCTTCACGAGGAAACCCCATTAAGATAGCACATCAGAGAGCCAACACCATACTCAGGTCCAAATTTTTCTCCCTAAGAGTATGTGCTTTATGGAATGCCTTACAGCGTCCTGTCGTTATAGCTCCCTCAGTCGACTCATTCGAGAGACGATTAGACAGTTATGTCACCTAGCATGGACTACCACGGACGTACTCAGATAGTCACCAACCTCACTAGCCCCAACCCCCTCCTAACTACCACTCACTATCTCCCTCCTCAATACACCCACATTACCTACTAATTCTTCTGTAGGAACCAAACTCGTGCGACCATTCGCGCAATTCCCAATTACTTTTCTTCCGTTCTTATTTCTCCTTTCACCCCTCCTTTTCTTCTCCTTCCCTTTTCTCTTCCCTTATCCTCGTTTTTTCTTCTTTATTCTCTTTTTTATCCTCTCTTCATTCTTTTACCACTACCTTACTATTCTCTTTCAGGTACCTACACAGACAGGAGTCACGGCAGTTCCCTAAACTTCCCAGCAACCCGTAGATACCCACTCACTCTACAAGTTACACCTTGCTAACCCACAAAACATCCACCTCACCGAAGCTAAAAGCAAGAAAGCAGAGGGAATTTCCTCGTCCACTGCAGGAGTGAACCGAACAACTCGAACCAAGGCCTAAGAACTAGATGCGAGAGATCAAAAACTACCAGTTTTCTACGTTCACACTATTAGATTGGATATTGGATCCACGGACTGTAGACGCGGAAGCCAGTTAGGCGAAAGCCTCTTCTGTTTCGTCAACAACCATTTGAACCGTTTGTTGGATTGGACATTGAAAAAGCGCTCATAACCTTGACGTGGCCTTAGTGTTGTGATGAAGGACACTGAGAGAGGGTTATGCTTTCGAACTCCTCTCCCTGTTTGTCGTTCGCAAGACGAATCATCATACTGTCCTGAAGCGAAACGCATGAAGTTATGGTAAATCTGATACACCTAATGATCTGAACGTGTCTTAGTTCTAATCCTAGTCCATCTCGTGTTTCAAGTGTTTACAGTCGAATTTTCGAACGAAAGACTCGTCCAATTAGTGGTCAAGATAAAAGTAAAGACAATCAATCTTCATGGAATGGATCTTCCTTTAGAAATCTGGTGAGGTTTATTTTCCATTTCCTGTTGCGATACCCATCTGAAGACATCTCAGCATCAGTGTACAAATCGAAGTGTGTTGTATGAGAATGTTTAGTATGTCACCCAACATTTAAAACATGCCTAAGAAATTGTAGATCTGCCTGGTCTAGGTTAGATATTAGAATCGAAGAGAGCAATAGACTGCTAAAGTTAACACTGTAACATCACCATAGTCGCTCGCGAGAGAATTTCGAAGTCGGCTTTATTTTATTATTTGTAAACGAGGAATTATTCCATTTGTAGTTGATCGTTATCAATGGTTTTACTGTCATACCGTAGTGACTATGAAGAGAGCACTTTTAAGACATAGATATGTGTAAAGTATCCGCATGTTTCACACTGTCCATAGTCACTGAAAGGTGGCTAGATTTTCCTAAAGGAACATTTATCATGATCAGTAACCCTCGTTTCTAAATATTGGTAGCAGAAAATAGTAGTACCCCATCCCAGTACAAGTGTATTTACTTGTCTCTGAGCCGCATGTTGTGTAAAGGTTTATGATACTTTCCTGTAGCCCTAAAATGAAGTCCGTTTAGAATGTAACTAACGACTTCACTTTGGAATGACGTACCATAATGTGTAAATATACGGCCTTCCTTCATATGAATGTTTCTTACCTGTTCGGTTATCCTAACACGGGTTTCTTTTATCTAATATTCAGGCTTTTATAAATAATAACAGCTATCATCACTTATTTGTTTCTCTTATACCCACCAGTAATGTGTATTTTGCGACCTTTGTTACTCTTTATGTTATCACTATGAGTGGTGGCAGTTTGTAGGTTACGGTTTCCTTACCGGGCAGACAAGTTAATCCACACGGTCTCGTACCTTGTCTGTGACAGCCTACAGTGTAACATATCGCTTTCACCAACCTGTTTACTCTTTGTTCTTGCCTCCGGTAATACACGCAAAATGGTCGTGCTAAGTACTGCGGAAGAAAAGCTTGTAAGTTATGAATTTAAAAAATAACAGCAAGCGGGTTTTCTGTAAGTGTGCTTTATGTCAGTCCCACGCTTTTGTGATGCAAAAATTTTCGGGGTCTTATCAACGTCCACCTATTTCCGTCAACGCCAAGTGCTTAGTTGAATAGTTTTGTCTCGGGCATATGCTTTAGTGTGAAGTGGTTTTAGTTACTGTGTATGTGACGTGTTGAGCAACCGTGCTATCACCAAATTATCCACGAAGAAAGATTTGGGGCTCAACTTCTCCGACACCCTGAACACCAGCTCCAACTGCAAAGACATGATAACCAGAGCAAACAGCACTTTGCACTCCCAAACCCTTCTTCACAGTTTTCAGATCCAACGTACAGCCGCACCTGGAGGTCTTCAATATGGTGGCTCCTCCAACACTCAAGAGAGACTAATCTCCTTGAAAGAATACAAAGAACTGCAACAAAATTTGTTGTGGGACAAAGGGGGAGGGCATACCCTGAAAGACTAAAACATCTAAACCTATTCACCTTGGGTTATCGCAGAAAGAGGGGTAACCTTATCATGACCTACTAGATCATCCATCAGGCAAACCACGCAAAAAAATTAGCCTTGCCTTCAACACAGCAGTCGTCACGAGGAAACCCCATTAGGATAGCACATCAGAGAACTAAAGTCACTCTCAGATTCAGCTTTTTCTCCTTGAGAGTATGTGCTTTATGAAATGCCCTACTGTGGGATATTGTCATAACTCCCTCAGTAATCTTATTGAAAAGACGACTTGACAGTTATGTCACCGCATGGTTTACCAAGGACGTACTCAGGGAGTCACTAACCTCACTAGCTCACCACTTCCCTTCTACCTACCACTCACTACCTCTCTTCGTAATGCACCTACATTATCTACTAACTTTTCTCTAGAAACTAGACTTATGCTATCTACTTTTACCTTTCGGGTGATTTCCACATACTTTCTCTCGCACCATCGTGCTGTTCCTCTTCAGGTACCTATACAGATAGGAGTCACGACAGACCCCTAATCTTCCCAGCAAACCGTAGTTCCCCAATCACTACAAATCGCAACTTACTAACCCACAAAATATCCACTTCGTGTAAGCTAAAAGCAAGAAAACAGAAATTTCCTTGTCCACTACAGGAGCGAACCGAACAGCTCGAACCAAGCCCCCAGGACTAGACATGAGGGATAAAAACTATCAGTTTACTACGCTCGCACTATCAATATTGGATATTGGATTACTTTAATTAGCAGCCAATATACTGTAGTATACTTCTGTGAAATGTGGAAACTTGAACCAATTCATTTGTGTGCGAAGTTCTACTTTGTTTTTGTCTGTGTCTGGCTATACTAATTAATCGGAGACGTTTGAGGATAAAAGTACGTTTTGATTTTGAATTGTGGGTCATCATCATACACTAGATAATTACTAATGATACGGATATTTCGAATGGTCTCTACAATTCTTCCGTAAAGCACTTTCTACTGTGATATGTGATATACTGACTGCTAGGTTTTTCAGATTGTTTAGCTGTGCTTATTCGGTTGGGAACTGAGGTCTACGAACGTCTGACCACAGAATAGAGAAGGGAAGAAAAGATATGGTTGCAGAAATTGAACGTTAAGCATAAACGACTTATGAAATGATGCGATAAATATTTTCTGTTACGAAGAGTTCACCTGTAGACATACGAGTTTGGAATAATTGTTAGGTTATTAGGAGCTTGATATTTTAGTAGGGTTCAGTTCAAAGCGCATTCTCTTTTTGTTTTAGTAAACTAGCCTACAGTTAAATGTTTATCGAAAAGGAATAACATAAATTGTATACACTAAAGGGTTGTTTTGGACAGCGGTGTCATAAGCATTTCATGAAGGAATATCTCAGCTGGGTTTTGCAGAGTTTAGCTCTTATTGTGGTCATGTGTGTGGACGCATTAATATTCCACAACTCACTGAGCCATACTTAGCATTTTGAAGGATTTTTGGTTTTTTTAGTCAACTTAGATTTCTGGCAAACTGCCAGACGTCATGTTTATGTATTCTAAGTTGTATGTGTTGAAAGGTCAGCACAAATATGCGACTGATACTTAATTCTCTATCCACTTTAAAAGGAGCATTGTGGCAGCAAATTGAGTTTGTTGGTCGGAATCAAGTCTTTATGAAACAAAGTAACAGTATAAATGAGTGCGTCTGTCTAGAGTATTTTACACAGTCTAAGTCCACTTAGAGTTTCACAGAATGTACTGTGGAGAATTGGTTTTTGTACTTGTTACTGTTAAGGTACTGATAACGTGCTTCATTCATTTCCAAGTACTATTTCGGGAGGTTTAAACCAGCAGTTGGTATTGATAGAAAATATAACCACAGTACATTGTAAAAGTTTCCCCGTTTTTCTTTAGAAGGTAACCACACATTATTATTTAAGTATGCCTCCATCCTCTTTGTCTGAAGTTCCCAATCACCTGAATGTTTTTTCTCTCTACGTTGAATTACCTAATGTTGTTCATCTTTAAAGACTATCGAGACAGTCTGAAGTTTTTGTCGGAAATGACTAGTTATATAAAATTTGGGAAAGGTATGTGATCTTTTGATTTAGGCTGCTAAGGTGTCAGCCGATCTGCCAAGGATCTTTGTGAACAATGCCTTCATGGGTTTATTTTTCACATGTTTATCCCATCCAAGCTTTTAAGAACACATTTTATTTATTATTATTATTATTATTATTATTATTATTATTATTATTACCAATGATCATGGATTGGATGCATGGCACTAGGCGCATTATCATGCTGAGATAAGTTTATGACTTGCACCTTTTTAGATAAGCCTATTTTCAAGCCACTGTTTCTACCTCTTTTAGTGTCAACGTATTAGAAATAGGATAATTGCGATGTTTTACTCGGAAGTTTAGTTTGAACTTCTCCAGTGACATAATGAAGATATATCAGTGAGTCCACCAATGACATTCTTGAGACACCTCTGAAGGAGGTGTTTGATGGTGGTGTAAATATCTTAGCCAGGGAACGCCTATTCGACCTGGAATATACGGACGATATCGTCTTACTGTGCGATAACATACAGGCTATTCAAATCGCACTTAACCATTTGGCTATTAGTGCCCGTAAGTGTAGTATGTGCTTTGCACTACCAAAGTGCAAAGTAATTTTGCAAGATTGGCAGGAATCTGTGCCTACGCTCACTCTTGGTAGTGAGCGGTCGGAAGTACTAGAAAAGTTCGCGTATCTGGATAGCTTTGGGTGCTAGTGGTAGTGTGATGAAATTTTTACCCACGTATCGAAAGCCAGAATCGCATACGCCAGTCTCAGCCACCTTTGGGGCCATCGTGACGTTAGTCTGACCGTAAACGATTGGGCTTGCGATGCTTCGATGCCAGAAGTCATGCTCTACCTATAAAATCTGGCCTCTTTGAGCTGAAGATATGCGACGACTGTGCGTTCGATCATCGTTGTCTCCGTAGGATTGCTCGTATCTGGTCCAACACCATGTAAGTAAGTAATTCTGAGGTACGACAGCGTGTGTTTGGGTATAATGTAGATCATCATTTAATAAGTGAAGTCATCTGGAAACACCACCGGCGGTCATACTGCAGCTTTCTATCTTCTGCGGCCGAAAAGTAATAAGTGTTCTGTTTTGAATATATTTTATTGGACTGCCTTTCTAATCATCCTATTCTTATTGTGTGTTTGTTTTTTGTTTACCCATATCGCTTCGCTTTATGTTTTCGTAATGTTGTTATATTATTTTATGTGGTGCATTTCTTGGTGCTCTTGCTATGTCATGTTTGTGTTTTAATAAGTAAATAAATGAATAAGTGAGGCCAAAGACGATTAATTAATTTCTTTGTCCTAGTACTTTTTGGGCAGAAATATTGTTAGTATTCAGATAATTTAATCTCTGAAATACTCATCTACAATTGTCACAGTTTTTAGTGTAGTGCTTTTCTGGCTGTATATCTAGTTCTAATTCAGTTTGTTTATTGCCTAGTTTTCATACTTTTAGTTGATTTATGAAGTGACAAACAAACGCGCTGTATTGATGAAGTTAAGTAGAATTAGGTTCGGATAAGTTATTGCTTTTCTACAGTTTGTTAGTATAATAATTTCTTTTCCTAGACTACTTTTTATCGGCATCGATTTGGTAATTCCATTTCCTGTTTCACAGTTATCATTTCCCAGTCTGAAAGCGTTAAGTCGCCCTGGTGACATTTGCCAATATTTACTCCAAAGTTTCTTACCAACTAATCCTATTCAACCTTTGAAGATGAAACACTCGTCTGTTTTTAGTTCTACTCCTTTTAATGGACACTCAAAATCATTCTTAAAGAAAAATCAATTTCCTACTGAAAGACAACTGTATCAACGACTTTTGGACAAAGCATCATTTCAGCGAACTCTGTTTAACAAACCGTCTAATAATTTGGTTGGTACAATTACTATTAATTTAGACGGAGAGGTCAGGGGTCGTTCTTCATTACGACAGTAAGTGGTTGTATTCTAATACTACTTCTAATTCCTTTTCATTATACTGACATGTTTCACATTATTTTCGACCGGAATGGAGCATTCTTGGTCCAACAACGCAGTATTGGTAATTCTTACACATATTTCATGTTAAAAGCTCATTCTGTGATCCCTCATTATTCTAATATTTACTTTAGCGTAAGAAGTTTGACTTCAATACTTGCTCACATATACTCTCCTGGTCTATTTAGTTTTATGAAAGTATTATTTTTGTTTTAACACAGCTATACTGCTGACAATTAGTTATTGGATAACTCTATTCTTGTGTATGACCGAAGAATAAGTGTTCACTATCATCATTTGGAAATGATAAAGTAGTTCATTAGACTATTGTTTTCGACTTACCGTCGAAATTTCAAGTTCGTTTCGCAACTGTTACATGCACTAATTACTTACTACTGGAGCGCGCACGCACCTGTAAATCAGATTACCCAAGAACCTGAGAAATGAGTGTGACTAATGATTAGAGATGTGAGTTAAGGGGACTGGAAATATGTATATTTGTCGCTGGTTATCAGATATTCAAATCTATCAGATTACTCTTTAAAACGCACCTTACGCTAGTGTATTTCGTCTACCGAGAAAGTTTCTCGGAAAATTAATGTAACTCACTACCAGCAACTAGTCTCCAACTTGGCAGTATTCATCGGTAGATTGTGAATTAAATAAATGCAACTTTGCTACCATATTCATATTTATGTTCTAGGCTATGATTTAAACTTGTTTAAGGGTTAACGGTGCTAATAGATCGCCCAAAGCAAAGTGAGTTGAGTGGGTTTGAATGCATGGCCAATCGATTGTACCACGTAACGATCCTTATCTAACTCATGGAAACTATAGGTCGCTGCAGCGAGAAACTATAGAGGCGAAAAAGCCATGATTACAGAGACATTCGTTCTCACTTACTGTAGTTAAGTAACAGTGTGAGCTTTTTTTCTCAAGTTCACTGTAAGACGAGGAAAAACTTTTTAAAATCAACTCACTATTTTTACCTTGTCCATTAATTTTCAGATGTAATCTCTCCCCGATTCTTCCAAACCACAGGAGTCAATCAACAGTACCAGCTAGTAAGTTCAGTGCTCATATTCGGAGTTTGATACTTTGTAAGGAGGGTGCCTCGTTGATTTCATCTAACCAATGATGATCTTTCTGCTTTTTGTCTTCTTGTATTTTGTGATTTTTCGAATGAGCAACTAATGTAGGCACTCAACTTTCTCACTGGTTTGTTTGAATTGTCGAAATGGTTATTCATCTTTGACAAACCGAAAAATAAAATCAACATAGAACCCCACACATGAGTGCATCGATTTAAGTTGTCCCACTTCACGGTAGCAATCACAGAAAAAGTGGATAGAAAAAGACTGATATCAAAGTAGACAAAGTTGCGTGACAGAATAGACAATCTGAAGATAAAGGTTGGTGCAAATATTCAAGCTTTAGAAGACGTCAAGGAGTGAATATATCTGCGCCATTTTGACTGATTTTCAGACATGTCACCAAGAATCCTCAACTTCTGATTCCTGTCGTTGTGGAGATCCCAGTCAGGTAGTCTACGCCTCCCCAGACGACTCACATCGACAGTCAAGAACTTCAATGACTAGTGCCACATTTTGGTCTAGCCACTTTGATCGTTCCTTCAACTTAATCCAACTTTTAGCGTAGCACGTTGAGGTAGGTGATGGCTCAGTATACACAGTACGTGTTCAAGCCATTTAAGTCAACTAAGGTTCTCAACTTCATCAGTCTACTTGCTTGTCTTGCCTACTACTCTTTACTTGACGTCAACACTGCTCACATGGTGATTCCACTAAATGCCAGCAATGCTACAAAACATCTATGGTCAAAATTATGTAATCGCTTAGTATCTTCCTTTTTTAACGGCCATATCTCCCAGCAATATTTCAAGACAAAACGAATTGTAGCGCAGTACACTCGTCCTTTGATAGATAGTCGGATATCTCATCTATGTTTAGTAATATGTCTTGTTTCATGTAATTTGTTCCCTTATGTTTTGAGAAATTATGTTAGCTTGAGGTGCCGTCAGTCTGTATGACCTTCAAATAATTAGTCTGCGATTTTTACACCAGGATTCATTATCCTTGAACACTCAGAATACCGTTATTATAAATCTTTAGAATATTTTATGAAATCAATGACCTATGCAATTGTGAATACTTTTCGCTGATGAACACACATTTTTTTTACTGATAACATCTTTCTTTTCCTTTCTCTTTCCTATTTAATAGTACCATCACTATATTTCTGTTTGTTTTTTTTCGTCTATCGCTTGAATCCTGTTACAGGCTCAAATGACCATACTCTTGCTGTAGCATCTCCAGATACCAGTGATTCAGAAGTTCGTGCATGGCTAGAAAGTTGTGGAGAATCTCCTTATCTATCAGACAGTTGGCTTAATAATTTAACTTCAAGTTATCGTGCAAAAAAGAAGGAACGTGAACGAAACTATGAGTTAGCGAAAGCAAATATACAATTTTGGGAAAAGCAGGTGAGATTTACTGAGAAAAAAAAATACTGTGACTTCTTCACCAGTTTTATTAGTATTTCTGTTGCTACAGCATATCAATTACTTTCTATCCGGTTAGTGATAAAACTGATTTCATGGATGGTCTATTCTCTCATTTTAACATTAGTCTTTCAGAAAGTTATTGTTGGTCGCAAACTTATCCATTTTTTTTTGTAAATGACATGATTACTTTAAAGTATAGGTTTAGCAACTATCTATGGCATTCAGTTACTTTTTAGCCAGTTTGGTGTTTCTCTATAAATGTAAGCAGTTCAATATATCACTTGAGTCAACGCTAAGAAATGTAGCAGTTGTAATGATTGTATCTTTTTGTAGTAGACTGAATTCCAGTGTATAAGAAACTCTATCAGGTTCATGATTTCTATTCTAACTAATGAACATGCGACGATACTGACCTTTACCACCTGTTTAGAGATGGCCACTCTTGTAATCTGTTTACAGCATATATATATAATGTTTGTTGGGTGTATTCAAGGCAAAAATAAACAGCCAATCAGTTATTGATGTCAGAATTAATACCTTGAAAGATTTATCATCCAGAGTAATTTAGTTCATTTTCAGCTAGTCAATACATGAGGAGTCATGAATGTATATCGTTATTGTATATTACGCTTTCGAATCGCATCGAAGTAGTATACTCAGCAACTTTGTGCACATTCGTGTAGTAAGCAATGAGGTCTAATGACACCACCTGAATGCACCTAAACCTCAATAGATGGAGCGGTGTTCGAACCCTTTACCCCCTTGGTTGTAAATCATCTCCCTAAATCAGTGGACCATAGCTCCACTGTCAGCCATTTTCATACTGTAATCCAGGAAAAATATGAACCTAGTTGACAATAAAACATAGTATATTCATTTTTCTAGTGCTCAGTTATTGTTGAACAGCTGTAAAGTACAGACTATCCATAAAGGAGAAGTAACAGAAGTCTGTTCAATTCTCATCACCGAAACTATGAGGTATCTTCTTAGTGTACTATATGAATGTCTTTTTGTTGATGTAGTTATATTCTTCAGGTTAGAATATATAGCAATGATGTACGAGCTAGTTCGCACTAGCTATTCATTTGAAACATGACTGTCGTTTGTCGTAAGTTGTGTGGCGTTCATGCAATTTAGCTAACAAATTTCTATATAGTGTAAGTATTTGAACTTACAATGTTGCGGTTCGACGACTTGGTACAAGTTTATGTGCTGAGCTATGAAGAACACTTAATATGTAAGGGTTTCTGACACTACCCTGTCCTGCAGGTCACAGTAGGCAAAGTGGAGTTTGGACTCATGACGCTTTACTTTTGAGTCAAATAGCTGATAAACCCGACATTCAAACGCTATCTTCACAACTACATTACTGACACGTTTGACTCCAAACGAATAAAACTGCTATCTTATGTTCAACTAATTCTTAGTTGCTTGGAAGAAAATCTGGTGGTTTATATGTGTCAGTGAAGCTGTGTTACATGATTTTGGATAGTGGACTTTTAGCCAATGGGTCATGTGTTCGAATCTCGCTCTACTTACCGACATTTAGGCAGCTTCAGTGGATGTGGCTTATTGCCTAATGCATAAATCTAAACATGATTAATGAGTAGGTAGACAAAGAAACAGTTGTGAATGTCGTCCAGCTGCCCACGTTCTTCGCAATATGTCCCCATGAGTATTAATTTTTCTCTCTACCAGGTTCAAGTCATCAAAGTATTTCTGCTGCAAAACCAGTCGTTACATGTGAATATTTCCTGTGCAGAAGTAACTGTTCATTTACTTATTATTAACAAAAAGTATACATTTTCAATCCCTGTACTTGATACTATTTTAACCTATTATCGTTATTGTATAACTCTAGCGTACTTTGGCTGAAAAAGAGCGTATCACTAATCTTGAACAAAGACTTGCTTGTTTATTGAAAACACCACCTGTCCTCAATGATCCATATTTAGTACCCCAACCAATCCCTATCGAACTACCCTATAAACCTGTTAAGGTCAAAGAACCTAAAGTACCAAGTCTCCCAGGTGAGAATTTATGCTGTATATCACCATTTTTTATTTATCTATGTTATTGTAATGTTGGAATCATTCTAATGTTCTCGTGTTTAAAGAAACTACGTTTCTAGAAAGCAAAATCTGTGAAGTTATCCCGTAGATTTGCAGTCAACACACACTAGTAAGGTATATTAAAAGAGTGAATAAGTTCATGCTTTGGCTACAAAGCATTTATGCTTTACTTGCTCAACCTATTACACGCAATATATTATTCACAAGGAAGAACGTTTAGGTAGTTTGCCGTAGATTTAATGTGTTTAAACATTGGGTGTAATGGCTAGTTTTAACCAGCTCATTACTAGGTGAAGTTCATTGTTGTTTAGTTAGTCGATTGGTAAGACTGATATTCTGCCTATTATAGTGTCCTTATTTTAAGAGTTTAGACATAAAGTATACAGCACTACTAATTCACTAGAATAATTAATTTTCCAGATCGAATTCCAACAAATATTAAATTGAATTTTGAGGGAGTTGGGGGGATTTGGAAATATATTTCAAGTTATTATTCATCGTAGACTGACATCAGTTGGAGGAACAAAGGAAACCTGGGAGCACTGGACAGCTGTTTCGTCCTAGTATGGGACTCGTCAGCAGTGCGCACACACGACCTCGCCATGGATCGAACCCGTGACCTTCAGGTTCCGTAGCCAGCACGTTACCATTGAGCTAGCCACTGGGTCAGAATCCAATGCTCCATATTTCCAATTTCTGTTAGCTTACGATATAGCGCAACCGCCACCCAATGTCATTGTTGACTAACTGTCCTCATGACCATACTAGGACGAAACAGATGTCCAGTGCTCCGAGGTTTCTTTTGTTCCTCCAAGTGATATCAGTCTACGATGAATAACAACTTGAAATACTAAATTATCACTTGACTATCTGAGATAGCCATAGTTTGGCAGACTAATACTTATACTATAAGATAATTGAAGGTGAGATAAAAATCTGGACTATGGCTGGATTCGAAGCAGAGACCACCGGGTTTCTACGTCTGATTCCCTATCAACTGAGCTACAAGATCTGACTGCAGACCAGATTTTTATTTCACTTTGAATCATCACCCAGTATAAATATTAAGTTGTTCTTGTTGTTTTCTTTGACTGGGAGTCATTGAAGAGGATGCTAACATACAAGGAAAAAACAGATTCTAAATGTTTGTGTGCTAGGATAAGCAAGCGTTTGTTAACCATATATAATTCGTTTTGTATATGATGCACATTTCTCGCAATAGAATTTGTCTACTAGTTATCCTTTTGGACAAATCTTCTGAATTGTATTCCACAAATGAAGAAAGACTGTGTAGACATTGAAGTGCTATGCGAACTACTTACCTTATAGAAATACTTCATTTCTTAATAGGTGAAATGACTGCTTAGGTACATCACCGCTTAAAAGAATGATTAATAATGGCCTTATTTATTTCAGCTATTAGTCAAGTTCATAGTTTGTTTTGATAGGAAATGTACTCCATGAAGTTTGTTATAGAATGCGAATCAAATGTAAATGCACTCAACCAATCTTGTGCATCTATTCGTACACTAGAAAATGATGGCTAACTGACTGCCCAAACTTCGGTAAATGAAGCAAGGATTGAACCAGCGATCCATTAGTTGAAAGTTGTCTTCATAAGGTAATGAAGCACAGTTCTACATGCAATACTTACTTCATTGATAATGGTTCCCACCTATTGTTATGTCATCATTATCATCATTATCAACATAGGACCAGGCATTACTGCGTAACGGTCCGAGTTGCCACACCTCACGTCAGTTCATCAAGTAAAAAGGTAGTGAGGTGAAAGATGAAGATAAGTGAATGCAGTCAAAAGAAATATAAAGTACGAGAAGAAAGAAAGAGAGTGACAAAATAGTGAGATTCGGTATAGCGTTGTTAAGATGAGGATAATGTGTGTATACATCTGAGCCACTGACATCGGTTCTGAGCCATATCACCTAGGGTCTCCAACCACTGGTTCCTCTTGTCCCGTGGACCCCAACCACCTAGTCTGCATCGTCCTACATGGCTTAAACCAACAGTCAGAGACTTCATACATTGGTGCCATGTTTTAGTCTGTCCACCTCGGGCCTTTTTCCAGCCTGGACCCACCTCAGCCAACATTGTGTGACGAGACAGTCGGTGACTAGGCATACGTAGTACGTGTCCCAACCATCTCAGTCGATGAAGGTTCATAACCTCGTCAACTGACTTACCTCTTCTCCCTAAAACTCCACTATTGTTATGTATGTTGATAAACTATAAGGGGAAAGCGTAAATTTATCGTCTAGATGACATGCATTGCTAAACAATTTACCCAATGTCTGTTTATCTTACATCAGCATCTCATGAAAATATTGTTAAGTTGTAACGCATTAGTTCAATTAATTCATTTTCAACTAGCGGGCATCTAGTGGAAATCTGTTTTCGCAAATTTCAACCTCTCCAACTGAATATAATCAAAAGTTCACACACAAACACTGTTTTGAATAACGTCGTGTACAAGATAGGTGATTTACTGGAGAAAAAAAACTACATAGCAGAACTGTCAACTTATTTACTTCTTATTATTGATAGTGATGATATGCTTCTGAAAAAAAATATCTGCTTCTTATATGCCTTTTTTAAAACAAACATTTCTTTTTTTCTCTTTAATTTTTCTAGTTTTATCTGCATCTCAATTAGCTCAGGTTGAAGCAACTCTTCGAACTGGCTCTCTAGATGAAGTACTGGTTGATAAATTTAAATTAGGTGTTACACGACGTGAATTAGTCACATTGACCGGTTCAAATTGGTTATGTGATATGGTATGTTGACAGTTTTTCTTTCCTTAATATATGCTTAGTTTTTTTTGGATGTTAGTTGTTTCATATTCATAACTCAGAAACCATGCTCAAGTTCGCAAACTAAGCAATCATCAATATCAACATAGGACCAGGCATTACTGCATAACGGTCCGAGTTGCCACACCTTATATCAGTACATCAAGTAGAAAGGTAGTGAGTGAGTTGAAAGATGAAGATAAGAAAATTCAATCAAAAGAAATATAAAGTACGAGAGAAAAGAAAGGAAGAATGACAAAATGGTTAGAATCGGTATAATGTTAATGTACATCTGTGCCACTGACATCTATTCTGAGCCATATCACCTAGAGTCTCCAGCCACTGGTTCCTCTTGTCCCGTGGACCCCAACCACCTAGTCTGCATCTCCCTACATGGCTCAAACCGACAGTCGGAGACTTCATGCATTGGTTCCATGTTTTAGTCTGGCCACCTCGAGCCTTTTTCCAGCCTGGACCTACTTCTCCCTCGTTTTGGACTGTCTACAACTTCCCTATGTTAATATCCTATTCCGAACCTGACAGGCTAGCTGGCGACGGGGTAGTAACCGAGAACCATTTGGATTGTTCTTCGAAGTGTTCACCCATCGTTCCAGTCGTCTCTCATACGAGTGAATCACAAACCCCTCTCTCTCTGCTATCGTCTCACTAATCACTGACTCCCCCCCCACTTTTCTTGATGAGTGTATATAGCTGTCTACTGTTACCTATTACCGCTGCTTTTCGTACCTCTTAAGCCTCCGCGTGCATCCAATAATTCAGAAGAAGCGGCTAAGACCCTTTTAACCACTCTCCGAGAGTTAGCTACGATCTTTGACACTGTTTTCACAGCAAAGTGGAGATGGCCCCAGGCTTCTTTCGTATGAGTGATGTTCGGTTCCACTAACTTTCTAGCCAGTTTCTCACTAAAACCAACCTTAGTGCTCTAGTTGTCGAGCTTCACTCACCGTAGTCTTGTTATAATTTCTCTTCGTCCACTTGGGTACAGGTATGCACGTGCTCAAAACAGCACACAGCCTCTGTACAGGCACGTGCTTCAGAAGGAGCTGCAATCTCCCACCCACCGTCTCCATCAACAACTGGTGGCAATGTGATCTATCTGTATCCACCCTTGAGTTAAGGTGGGTGGACGCCACGTCAGACAGTATCCTTTTTTATATCGAGTTCGTCCTGGCCAGATGTTTTTCTGAGCATAGTCGTAACAAGCGGTCGCCGTTATCTTTTCGTTGGACTAGGATTGCGAAAGTGCCACCTAAGTGCCTTTTTCCGTGAGTTAGCCTACTCACTTTTGCATTAAAATCACGTGCAATAACCACGTCTGAACCTTTGACTGTCAGTAGGAGACCGGATAGTTTTCAGTAGAACTCACTCTTCACTTTATCTGAATTGCAGTCATTGTATATATAAGCAGACAACTATGGGTTTCACTGCTCTTTTCATTCTTCACTGCACTATTCAGTTGAACAACATACAGGTTGCTGTCTATTGAGATCCAGTCGAAGTGTCCTTTATGCCTTCGTACTTATTGCTAAAGCTAAACGTGCAAAAACGTGAGAATTAGTCATTAAACCTCCAGAAACTCGTGGCAGGGGGGGGGTAAATACATATGATACTGAGGTAGCATTGTACTGCTGGTCGTCCGCTTCCGAAAATACCTAACTGTCGTTACAACCTGCCCATTTTGGAGTATGACTTTGCTCTTGCAACCTTTTCACATAGCGTACTAGTTTACACTATGTCGGTTACTGCTTTTTGTTTACCCACTATCCAACATATCTTTCTGGCATGGTAGAACTTTCAAGGAACAAATTTTCCACTGCACAGCATTTTGGATCATTGTGATATACAAGTCTGAGCATTACGTCAAGGTAACAGCTTTAAGTTCGGCCATACCAACAATCTAAGACTTCATGAACTGGTACCGTGTCTTGGTATGGTCGCATTCAACCTGATCTCAGCTTAGTTATACTTCAGCTAAGATTGTAAGTTGAGGTTAGCGGTGGCTTTTTGTACGCAACACACATGTAATCCACCTATATCATTAAAGATTCACAGTGTCATTCTACAGCTGATTCATTCGATTTTTATTTATTTTCCTTGTCTTATAGGTGATCAACTTTTACTTACAGTTACTGCAACATCGAAGTCAGCATCAAACAAATCTACCTCGTGTTGCTGTTCTGTCAACATTTTTCTACGCAAAGCTAACAGCACCAACAGGTGGAGGTTATGCAGGTGTACGACGTTGGACTCGACAATTAAAATTGTTTGATCATGATATTGTACTTATCCCAATTCATGATAGAGGGATGCATTGGTGTTTAGCGGTAAGTAGACAGTAATCTAAGTGTAGAGATGAAATAGTTTTAGCTGTTAATCAATCCTACTTCACTGAAATGTTCAGGGTTACATAAGACACAAATATGTCACCTATAATTTTGTAAGTCGGTCTAGAATGGGTTAAGATCATGTCTTCATGCTTAGCGGTTATTCATGTGAATGTTTTACCCTGAAACTATGGTGTTTTTGTTATATCCAGATAGAAAAAGGCATTTCCCTTACTTCTTGTTATTGATAAGCAGAAAACAAGAAATGAAGTTTATTCAGACTACCTATCCTAGTATTGTGAGATTGTAGTGAAGACAGTTAATTTCTTACCCATCTCATCTAACCCCTGTTTCAACTTCTAATCAGTATGTCACAGCATCAAGTAGTGCTCCATATATGAGATGTAGACAACGAGGTGGTGGTTGTGCATCATCTGTATTACTCTAATATCAGATTAAAACTTGGACATAATTGTAGAATATGATTGTATTTCAACAGATTTACTAGAGAGTTTAGAACCCAATCGATTATCCATAGTCATATCGACGTGATATGACATTATACGTTGTAAGGATTTGTTTTTTCATGAAATTATAATCACACTGGCAACGAACCAACCAAGAAGCTATCGCTCAACAAATATGCACTGGAAGGAAGTGGAGATGGATTGAATCGGCATACACTGAGAATGCCGATTGGGGACATCACGTGTCAGGCTTGGCCAGGCCCACGAGTGGAACCCCAATGGGAAGCGACGAGTTGGGCGTCTGAGGTGAGGGTGACATGGAGATCGTGCGAGGAGGAAACGAGAGGTTGTGGGCTGTCGTGGATCCAGGTTCAAAAGATTTCAGAGAACAGAGCTCACTAGAGACGTGCTACTGAAGCCCTATATTCCATTAGGAACCCAAGAGACAAAGAGACAATCGAGAGGCTGGTGTATCTGATCATGAGTTGTCTAAAGTTATCTGGAATTTCTGATTATGTGTACATTAATGTTTGTTCACTTATACTAAAGATGGATAGTGGCTAGCAGTGGAATCCAGGATGCACATTTCATCCTATTTGGGACCCACCAGTCAGTTGAATGTACATGCCTCCCAGTGAGTGATGTTGTTCCCACTGGGACTCGGACTCAGAAGCTATCGCTTCAAATGCCAGAGCGTTATACACTAGACCACTGAGCCACGATAGCATTTCTTGTGCGACGGGTATAGTTTTGGTATGATTGTTTGTATTATACCGTTTGTTCACTTACTTTAAAAATAGAGTCAATGCACGCGCTCTCGAACACTTTTATTATCCTGTGATTTAAGTTGCAAATTGTCAACGCAAAAGTATGTTAAGTGATCTATACAGTCGATGGCATTTTCAGAGTAACACTAAAGTGGAATAGAATAGCAGTCTTAGCAATATTTATGACATGTGTGTAGAAATATGTTTAACTTCACAGAATCATTTCCCGTAGAGATTTACACAAGTGAGATGAGTTTAGAAAAAGCTCGACTGTAGCTATGTGTGACCATATACACAGCTATACAATAGAATGTGACAGAGTGATGGTCTTTAAAATTAACTTAGTTGAGTGGAAGGGAGAGCTTGGTAACTGAATCTTTGCTGAATCAACACAAAATACATAACAATAGGAATGATATAGAACGTGTTCCAGATGTACAGAACTTATTTCCAAGTGGTAAAGAATATTTGTAGTTTGAAATATGGATGTTCAGACTGTGTTCTTCTCAAATTTGGGGTTTCGTCTGGTAAGTGTTTCAGTGTCAATGCTCCACAAAGGAGTGTAGTAAATTATTTATGGATATTTATAATTTATCCTTTATCCTAACATACCTCACTTTTTTGTAAAGCGTTGACGATGATATCTAGCATGATAATGAAGCATTTACCAGTCGAAACGTTAGCTCAGAGAACAACGCAATCAGAACATAGCTTATTTGCATTTGGATACATAATAAGCTGAGATCAATGAAGGGAGATTCAAGTAGATAAATAACTCAAACGTACTTCAAATTAATGCCAATGATTAGCCTTTACTAAATTTCTCTTCTCTTTCACAAGTGCTTAGGAATTGTAAACACTTCCTATAGATTAGCTCTTTGCTTTCTACTGGTTGGTGATTGAAGGTGAGATGAAAATCTGGACCGCGGCTGGATTTGATCCAGCAATCACTGGGTTACCGACCCGGTGCTCTACCAACTGAGCTACGAGGTCTGACTGCTGACCAGAATTTTATTTCACTCCAATCACCAAGGGGTTTTGCCCGACTACCATGTGAATCCATAACGTGCTACTACCGCTTGATTGTATTCACACTGGCTGCCTAGTCAGGACTTCTCATCCCAATCCAAATCTAAGTGAATCAGAGAGGGAGAGCATCATATTGATTATGATTCGACTAAGATAGCCGTAGTTTGGCAGACTCATATTTGTATTGGGTGATGATTGAAGGTGAGATGAAAATCTGGACCGCGGCCGGATTCGAACCCGCGACCACCTGGCAGCGGTCCAAATTTTCATCTCACCTTCAATCATCACTCAGTACAAATACGAGTCTGCCAAACTACGGTTATCTTAAATAGTCAAATCATAATCTTTGCTTTCTATTTAGTTTGTTCAATCAACCATGAATTATATTCATGGTTAGTTGCGCCACTACACAAGTCACATCAGTTGTTTGTAAAAGTAATGTAGTCTATATTTTCTTAATCTTTATGTATTGAAAAAAACATGAATTCAGATAATTTTGAGTCCTATTGTTTTATATCTTGTGATGCATCATTGACATTTATTTGTTTGTTTTACTATTTTTTCTTCAAGTCTGTTGATTTACGTGCCAAAAGTATAACATACTACGATTCAATGGGTTGTGGAAACATGAAGTGTCTAGAACAGTTGATGTAAGTTTAATCTGGAGGTCTTTAGGGATTTGATTGTTATTGAAATGCTGATCATCATGGACTGATATCGGTTGGAGAACAATTGAAAATCTGCAAGGATTGAACAGCTATTTCGTGCTAGTATAGGACTCCTGAGCAGTGCGACAAACCTTCCCTCAAGGGATTGAAAACAGGACAGTCAGGTCTCCCTACGAGTATGCTGCCACTCACCTATCTAATACTCCCAGTTTTTCGATGGTTCTCTAACTGATGTCAGTCTGTGAGGAATACTACATTTATGTTTGCTTTTAATTTTTTTTTTGAGGGAGTGTTGTGGGTTACACCATAGGTCATTCTAACTGCGTATTCATTAAGTGAATGGGATTCATCGGAAGAGCTTCACTTTTGCTACACCAAATGTTGGGGGTTAAATATCGCTGAAATTACAATTCCTTGTCAACTAAACGAACTTAATTGCACCTGAACCTGGGAAACCTGACTGATATGTGCTACGTTGACGTGGTAGTCGGGCTTTAATATCACAATGAGCCAACGAGCTATGCTGGTGGAACGCTTGTTTCTTGAAGGTCCTACCATACCAAAAAGGTGTGTTGGATAATGGTCAGACAAAAGCAGTTACCGTGATAGTGTAAATAAGTACACTATAATGGGAGTACGGGAGGGAATTTGTACTGCTAAATGGACAATGTGTGACAACAGTGTGTTTCTTCTGGATGACCAGCAGTGCCATTTTGATGCCTTCCCTATGGGAAGGGAAGAGGTTGTGAAATGTTGGTTCTAAACATAACACACTCTCCTCTAGCATGCAGCTTACTAGTCCCGGCGATATGCATTCATAGTCGGATTCACAAAAAGCAAACGGAAACCTCTGGCTTTCTAAAAGGTCGTGTGTGACTGGTTTCAAGCAGATGTCCATTGAGCTCTGTGGTCACACCCTGACCCTTCTTTATCAGGTACCTCTTTTCGCATCTGTCAAATATCACATGACCTTTCAATATTGGTCTGCACCGATTCCTAGTCTAACTATAGGAATCAAAGTGAAGGTATTTGTTGACCATTTATTTCCCTTGGGAAGTTATATCAACACAATAGGGTTGATTGCTGCCAAAATCTCAGCTGGAATTACTATAGTCTCGTTTAACGTCTGCCAACTTAGGACACAAGCGCAACTATGTGTCAAAGTAAGGGAATATCGCATAATTATAGAATTAGATAGGTTGGAAGAAAGCTAAGTCTCTGACTGTTAGTCGGAGCCGTGCAGCGAGATGTAAGCTGTCTAACTGAGTTTTCGTAGATAATAGAAACCAATGGTTAGACATTCTTGATGATATGAATCGTCGAAATTTTCAACATTTGCCCTCAAATTTATTCACTCCGTTTCCTGTCATACATTCTTTTGTTATTCACCCTTTTTCTGTATGCTTCTTGAAAGTTGGTGACTTGAACCTATGCGCTTCTATGCTATGCTCTACGTTGATTTGTTTATCCGTCTGAAATTCACTTTAACAGCAGGCCATTCAAATACTTTGAGACAACAATAACGCTTTAATTGTCGTTTTCGTTTCATCTTGTGTATCTGAACTATTCAGCAACATACGTGATATATCCTTCAGTCTAACTGCTTGTTTTATGTATGTTCATTGTACATAAATTCGTACAATAGCTCTGGAATCATATTCTTTGTCTCCCATGTGTATCGTTGCACTTGAAAAGCGTATAAATGGTTCTGCTAGTCACTTAGTGATTGGCTTTTGTTAAGTCTTTTAGGAATGTAGCGATTGGTCACTACAGAGCAACCGATTTCATGTTGTCTAGTCATGAATGCTGACCGAATTCTATCAGTCATTTTTGCATTGTGTCCAGCAAGCTAGGAGACTCACCACTGTATGATGGTTGGGGGCAGTTGACAGAAAGACCCCACTAAACATGAAACCTAGGCCCAGGGCTTCCATCCGTCAACATACACCACAGTGCTGATCCTCCTAGCATGGTGACGACATTGAAGTATGATCGCTTGAATTCAGCTAGGACTAGACAACATAAAATTCATTACTCTTCAGTGACCAATCTAATCTAGTTCTACATGAGGCCAGAATAGCTCAGTGGTCGCTTCACTCACTGCAACTTTGGGTGACGTGGGTTCGAATCTCACAGGGAACATCGTTTCTTTCGAGATTGCAGACATGCCTTACTGACGAGCGTTCACAAGCATGAAATCTAAGTCGAGCACGGTTTCCTGCCGATTCCCTCCATTCAGTCTTTTAGAAATTCTTATTTGTGGATAGAGTAGTGGAAAAAATTGTATGGAATTGAAGATTAACAAGCACATCTTGTATTAACTGGATCATGTTTGTGTATCATTGTAACCCTATCGAGTTGCAGCTTCCGGAACACTCTTCTTCTCGGCTTGAAACTTCACATGGGCTATGGAAATGCTTAACAGTAACATTTTACAGGAGGTTTCGATACAGAGAAACGTTATCTTGATTAACCAATATGTCTGTCATTTATATCTGTTTGTAGTGATCATGTGCTTTAATTTGATTCTGTATAGAAAAGCTGTGGCTAACTGGCTTAAGCACTTGAATTTCAACCGATAGGTCGTCGGTTCGAACCCAGCTCCACTTCCTGAAGTTTCGACAGTCAGGTAGTATCATCAGTCCCCAGGATAGATATGGCTTGGCTTAATACCTACTGCATCAACACCCACAAGATTACAGAATGAATTTCGAGTATATAAAAATTTATTCCCGAAACTACGCACATTTTCTTTCAAATCCAAACTTTAATCCTAGAATTATGTTTAACAATTCTATGGCTGATGAATAATGGCATTCATATTTAAGAAAATCATTATTCTCATCTCAGTATAACAATAGATACAATGTAACACTTTCTTATCAAATACTTCATGAGTTGAATTAAATTCTCTTACATTTTCATAATTTATTTTTCAAGGGATTATTTGAAAAGTGAATCAGTAGACAAAAGGAATATTGAACTTCCAGATCCAGATTCATGGAAATTTGTCAATACAGAGGTAAGTAACCGACTCTTAACTATAAATATTAACCAGGTAATTTATGTAATCTCATGATTATTTGTATGATTGGATCATTTGCTTTGATTTGATTATTAATCATATGTTTATGAACTATAATGACAATTGAGTACACTTGATAAATTCAATTTATCATCAGGTTTTCATGCAAATCACCTTGTTTAATATAAAGTGTAAAAGAACAGAAGAATAGTCATGGTGATGTTTTGAGTAGGTAATCAATTTTTCTCACTTTTATTATGAGATAAAACTGGAACTGGAACTCTGGAACTGTTCTTATTTTAACGAAAGGAAGTGAAGTGGTGGAATCTGTCGACTATTTCACTTATTTCGAGCATAAACGATCCGTTTGGAATTTTCCAACTTGCATAATCTCTGGCACCGTCGACTAGCTAGAAATCTGACTATCTCTCAGAGGACGAGTATACTGCACTACAGTCTGTTATATCTTATTATACGATTGTGAAACATGACCGTTAATAATAGAAGACATGATGGAGTCACATGGTTTTAATCAAACATGTCTTTGTAGCATTGCTAGCGTTTGATGGAATCAGGCGAAGGGTACTAGGCAAAACAGGCCGGCATGTCAACTCATGAAGTTGTGAACCTTCATCGATTGACATTTCTTGGACATATGATGCGCATACCGATCTACTGCCTCCCTCAACGTGCCATGCTAGGGGGAAATGGACTGAGTTGGAAGAGAGTTCAGGATGCCTATACCAAGACGTGGTATCAGTCTATGAAGTTCCTGACTGTTGATCTGAGCTGTGTAAGGAGATGTAGACTGCCTATTTGGGCTCCTTGATATAATAAGAATTAATGATTGAGGTCTCTTAGTGATATGGCTGAAAATCAGCCACAAAGACGCAGATCTATTCACTCCTTGACGTCTTTGAGAGCTTGAATATTTGCACTAGCTTTTATCTTCAAATCGTTTATTCTGTTACACAACTTTGTCTACTTTGATATTATTTTTCTATCCACCTGTTGTTTGTATGCTAGTGTGAAGTGTGGGAACTTGAACTAATGTACATGTGTGCGAGGTTCAACATTGATTCTCTCCGTCTTCTATCTGTGTATCTGTTTCCGAAGTGCTTAGTTCAACACTACGTATGATAAACATTATTATTAGAGGTTTTCTATTACCATTTTGATACACTTATAAGAAGCTGTACTTTAGTGCTTTGAAGTCAATCAGCGGCATGACCTGGATTTGGGTTTCTTTCTTGTCGGCCACTCATAACACAAAAATAGCTGGAATTTGGCGAGGATTTGTGATTCCCCTAGATATTCCAGAATGCCTTATTTAATAACAAAGTTAGCAATATAGCCAATAAACTATTCAAACTGCCAGCAACAGATTAAGTGCTTGGATTGTTATTGGTTGATACCCAGTGTAGCCATCATGCTCTATATGTCAGTCACACTCTATCAACAAAGCATGCACAATCGCTACTAAACGAAGCGACACCATGCTGTGTTTTTTAGTTTTTGTTGACATCTGTTTTCATACGTCGTCCACACTAATCGCCTATAAACTTCCTAACATTTTATTGTATTTCTTTACTTGTCATCCATAGAATATACTGCGAATATTCCACTCTCTTTTATGATTTATTTTTCCCTTGGGTTCCTAGTGGAACATAGGGATTCAGTAGCACACCTCTATTCCATTCTCTTCTCTGCAATCTTTTCCACCTGGTACCACCACTGCCAACAACTTTCCATTTATTCCTCACATCATCTCCTCCATGTCATACTCGCCTCGGATACCCAATTCGTTGTCTCCCCTTTCAATTCCACTCGAGGGACTGGCCAAGTCTGACGCGTGATGATGTCCCCAGTCGGTCTTCTCAGTGTATGCCAATTCAATCCATCTCCACTTTATTCCAGTACATATTTGTTAGGTGATGGGTTTTTGGTTGGTTCGTCGCCACACCACACCACACCACACCACAGTTCCTCCTTGCTTTTTCTTTCTCGCCTTCTTATCTGATCTTCAGTATCGAGCCAGTGTAGATGGCAGCTGTTGATGAATGTCTGTAGTTTGTTGGAAATGCTTTTCGTGACACGCCAAGTTTCTGAACAATCATATAGAAGCACTGACTTACTTGACTGAATTGGTGTTGAGAATCCGGATATTATTCATGCCTTATGCTGAGTGCAGTGCAGTAGATCTCCACACTGATATGCACTCTCTTTAGTTAGGTTTTTACTTTATAAAATTGTAGGAAATAACCAATGCAGCTCATTTCGTTACGTGTTTATATACTAGATTATGAGCTATGCTTGCTATGTGACAGCTTATGATAGCATTTGATTGTTGAGCTGAAAGTAGGTTGAATGAAGTTCCAAGTAGTATCTAATTTTCTAAATTAACTTTTTATACACAGTTCATGATTTATCGTACACAATGTAAACATGTTGGCTAACTCGAGTTGTTTTGCTGTCCGATATTGTTCATTTAACTACTGTCATCAATCACATTGTTATCAACAAATTTTATATTAACTTACCTTTGAATTGTTTTCATTTCAAGGATACTGTACCTCAACAGTACAATGGATCTGATTGTGGTGTATTTTTGTGCACATTTGGTGAATTTATTTCACGTGATGTCCCATTCACATTTAGTCAGGTAATCTCCTTTTTTAAAATCATACTCATTCGTTATAAGTATGTTAAAAATACTTTCTTGTATAAAGAGTATGAACAACTTTGATAGCTGAGATGTGCAATATATGCCTAGTCACCATTCTTTCTATCGCTCAATATTAACTGAAGTACGTTTATACTAGAAAAAAGTTCGAGGTGATCATTACATCAGTGGATAAAGTTCTTGACTGTTGGTCTGAACGGTGTAGGGTCCATGGGACAAACGAAATCGATGATTAGAGACTCCAGATGATGACAAGGTTCATCGATCTCTACCTTCTACAACCTTTGATTACTTTCTGCTTCATTTTTCCATATATCATATGTTGTTATGCTCTTACTACCTTTATGTACTAATATGCAGTGTTACAACTTGTCAGGTCCCATGTCACTATTGGCTTTCTGAAATAATATTTTTACACTATGCTTCATTGTAACCAATATACCAAATCGTATCCCATACACTTACCAGTTATTTCTTAACATGATATAATCATCCTTTCATATGGTTACTAACAAAGGTGGTAAGGTTGACGTAAACCTTATGAGTCTTTTTTCGACGCCTAGTGAACAATGTCACCAATTGTGTTATAAAAGTGTGTTTAATCGTTTCAATAGTGTTTAGTTTTTTTTATCTCAAGGTAAATGAGGTCATTAATAGGACAGGTGGTTGTTAACATCTCAAGATTATGTATCAGTTCAATGTGATATACATCAAGGTAGAAGTTAAATAGTAGAGAAGATGAAGGATAAAGATGATAATTTCGATAGTTGTTGTATAAAGTAGATAAAGCCAATAAGAATAAGAATATATTATGAACAGCTGTTTTGAAACTGACATAAGGATAATTCATGAATCTATTCGCGTAATTGTGATCGTCTTTACATCAAATTATTAAGTGTATAGGAGCATTGAATTAGATTGTTCTGGTATATTTTGACCAAAAACTTTACACTTTTCTACATACTGTGTAGATCAACGTTTGTAGACTTCATGAATCTATATTTATGTCTTAACTTGGTTACCTTTGGCTTTTTTCCAACCCGATCTTACTTCCACCTGACATTCATAGGACATTTTCTATTCATAACTTCATGAACTGACTTATTTCTTTTAGCAATGCGCTTCATCTATATATTACTAAACTATGTGAGTTCCCTATGTGCAAGCGATCCCACGAAAGCTCAGTTGGTTACTGGTCATAAAATGAGCTTACTTATTATCTTGTTAGAAGGTTATCTGTCATGAAAGTATAAAACTACATACATGTATTTATTGAGTTTCAATTCTCAGAAGTTGTACAAGTGATTCAAACCTGTGATGAAAATGAGTTTTGAATATCTGCATTCTAGTTAACGTCTGGAATTATTTATCGAAAGGCTTCTTTGTTATTGTGACTAGTGATATTCTGTTTAAGTATTTCAGTAGTATGCATGATATTTGTACTAGAAGTACTATTCAGAACGAGGTCAATTATTACCGCATTATATTCATTTGAAGATAACTATTGAGCTTCCCCTTCCACGAATGCGGTTGAAATTGTATGTATGCCTACTATCACCCATGATCTTCCTGATTATGGTCGACTGGATCATGCAGCAAACCGTGAGAAGCGAGAAGATGGGCATACGCTGGCTGGATCGACGGAAAGACACTAGAAGATTTGGATTTCACCGATGACGATTTGTGTCTAATATCGTACAAACTCGAAGATCTATAGGCAAAAACTAACAAGTTGATAGAAGAGGCAGGGTAGCGAAAATGGGACTTCGCGTGAAAAGGTGGGGAAGTCAGAGGTGATAAAGATACCATCTAACTAACAACAGCAACAGCATCAAGAAGAAGAGGCACCTATCACCACGTGCGGGAGAAACTTAAACGAAGTAGTCTCTTTGACCTACTCATCTACCTAGGCACCATCGTTTCAATTACAGACAGCACAGGCACAGACGAGGATGTCGAAACCAGGATTGGAAAGACAGCAAGACAGGCTTTCACTGATGTGAAATCAGTGTGGAGATCTACTGCACTACACTGTACTCAGCATAAAGCATGAATAACAACCTAATTTTCATCACCAATTCAGTCAAGTAAGTCAGTGCTTCTATGTGATTATTCTGTGACTTGGCATATCACGAAAAGCATTTCCAACAAACTACAGACATTCATCAACAGCTGCCATCTACACTGGCTCGATACTGAAGATCAGATAAGAAGGCGAGAAAGAAAAAGCAAGGAGGAACTGTGGTGTGGTGTGGTGTGGTGTGGTGTGGCGACGAACCAACCAAAAACCCATCACCTAACAAATATGTACTGGAATAAAGTGGAGATGGATTGAATTGGCATACACTGAGAAGACCGACTGGGGACATCATCACGCGTCAGACTTGGCCAGTCCCTCGAGTGGAATTGAAAGGGGAGACAACGAATTGGGTATCCGAGGCGAGTATGACATGGAGGAGATGATGTGAGGAATAAATGGAAAGTTGTTGGCAGTGGTGGTACCAGGTGGAAAAGATTGCAGAGAAGAGAATGGAATGGAGGTGTGCTACTGAATCCCTATGTTCCACTAGGAACCCAATGGAAAAATAATAATAGTAATAATAACCGTATGTTATTCTTCGTATTGTGTATCAATAGCAGTGCAAGCATGTGACCATACTGTGAATGACATCTGATTCGCTTTTACTACGTGACATAATTTTCACCTTCACAGTATTTAGCTGTCACCTCATTCTTTTTGGTACCTTTCAGTTCCTATAAACAACTACATTGTTTAGAGTTTTCTGGAAACTAAAATATCAAGCATACTTTACATGTTTGTAAACATTAGTTCTTTGTTTCACTTTAGCTTAAAATTCACTCATGAATCTATTTATAATTTTCTCACTGACTTCATGAACACTTTATGCGTAATTGTTTTATGAATTTTGTTGTTATTCGGCAATCATTTTTAATTTCATTCATTGAGCAATAAACTACACCTATCAAGGGAGAGCTAATGATTCTACGTCACTGCCCGAGTTGTATTACATGAAACGAGATTCAAACTTGTTAGCGAATATAACCGGAAGTCAACTGCATAAACAGATAGCTCATACCTTCATAGAAGTAACAGTGGTGAAGTTGAATGGATTTATCTTTTACGTCTGCATCCTTTAAACACTGGCTCAGTGTATCACCAGTCTAAGTTATATATATAGGTTAACACAAGTTTTGTGCGTGGTATACATCTGTCCACTAAAGCTGCTGCTATATCTCACGTAGCCAGCTTGTCTAATGCACAATCTTGTTAACATGCTTTTCCATATGGCAGTATAAACAACACCAGTCTTATGTTGGTTGATATTCAAATTAATTAGACTATCGAAACCAGCATTTCGGCGGGAGGTTTGTTTCACATAAATCACCACACACTAACACCAGTGGTTTCAAAATTTCTATGAAAATATCAGTCAACGGTTTCCTGATGTTTATGCATGATGATGGCGAATAGAGAATGTGTTGAGAACTTTGGATGAATGATTCAATTTAACAGTGAACTGTGACTGTAAGATTTTCGAATCTCATGACAGCAATCATTATTATTATTATTTGTCTCTTGAGTTCCTAATGGAATATAGGGCTTCAGTAGCACGTCTCCAGTCACCTCTGTTCCCTGAGATCTTTTGAACCTGGTTCCACGACAGCCCACAACCTCTCATTTCCTCCTCACACCATCTCCTCCATGTCATCCTCACCTCACACGCCCAACTCGTCGCTTCCCATTGGGGTTCCACTCGAGGGCCTAGCCTAGCCAAGCCTGACATGTGATGTCCTCAATCCGCCTTCTCAGTGTATGCCAATTCAATCCATCTCCACTTCCTTCCAGTGCATATTTGTTCAGCGATAGCTTCTTTGTTGCTTCGTTCCCAGAGTTCCTCCTTGCTTATTCTTTCTGGCCATCTCATCTGATGATCTTCAGTAACGAGCCAGTGTAGATGGCAGCTGTTGATGAATGTCTGTAGTTTGTTGGAAATGCCTTTCGTGACACGCCAAGTCTCTGTGCCATACAGAAGCACTGACTTACTTGACTGAATTGGTGTTGGAAATCTGGATGTTGTTCCACATACTGAGTGCAGAAGATCTCCACACTGGATTCAGGTTAATGAACGTCCGTCTTGCTGTCTTTCCGATCCCGGTTGGCTTTGACGTCCTCGTCCTCGTCATGGTCCTCGTGTTTGCCTGTGCCGCTTGTAGTTGAAACAGTGTTGCCTAGGTAGGTGGGTGAAGGAGGTTACTTCCTTCAAGTTTCTCCCATTGATGGTGATTGGAGCTTGTTGTTGTTGTTGGTGGTGGTGGTGGTGGTGTTGTTGGTTGGTTGGTTATCTTCATCACATCTGTCTTCTCTATATTCACCTGAAGTCCCGTCTTCGCTGCCCTGCCCTGCCCTGCCCTTCCTCTTCTGTCAACTTGTTAGTTTTCGCCTGTAGATCTTCTAGTTTGTGTGACATTAGACACAAATCATCCTCGACGAAATCCAAGTCTTTTAGGTTCTTTTATGTGGTGCAGCGTATCCTCCTTTTCTCGCTCCCCACTGTTTGTTGCATGATTCAGTTCACTACAATCATTTTGTTTAGCATATTATTTTTTAGTCAGACAATTAGGTCTCCTCTAAAACATCTACTGTGAGACAGACGGAGACACAAAATCACCCTGGAATCTGGCACACAAGTGTATCGGTTCAAGTTGTTAGACTTCACAATAGTGAGTAAAGAACAAGTGGGATATTAAAGAAGACTATTTATTATCAACGCAGTCAAAGGTATATGGTAGGAGACTAAAATTAAAAATTAAGGTTAGTCAAAGCATTCAAGGTTGGAAAGATGTCAAGGAGTGAATACATCTGTGTCATCGTGACCGATTCTCAGCCATGTCTCCAAGTTTCCTCAATCACTGATTCCTTTCGTGTCGGGAACTCCACTCAGGTAGCATTTATCACAGCCAACACAGCTCCGACCAACAGTCAGAGACTTCATGGACTGGTGCCACGTCTTGATGTAGCCACCTTGAACCGTCTTCCAACCTGGTCCAACCTCTTCTAATATGACACATCGAGGTAGGTGATGGATCAGCTTGCACAAGCAATATCAACTGATGAAGATTCACAATCTCATTAGTCGACTTACCCACCCTACTGATGACTTTCAAAGCTTCATGCAATATGACGTAGTCCTTTTTAGTAGACTAGTAAAAATCAACGGACAACATTCAAGAAAAGCAAGTAAGATACAGGAAGTAATAAATTATTGAAGTATAAGCTGAGTTATACCAGAGATTCTCGGTTTTTTTATGTAGTCTGTTAAACGAAAGATTTTCTTGGAAGCCAGCAAAATATGAGGGGACCAACAAAGATCAGAAATAAAACGCAATTTAAGATTGTTAACACACGATTTTTGCTTTCTACAGAAATACCATCCATACAACAGGAGTTATGGAGCCTAAGGCAATCACAAGAGTCTTGTTTACATCTGAAGCTAAGGCTAACAGTCTAATATTCAGAAGGATTTAGCTTGAGATCATATGAGAAAGACTATTGGTCAATTCTAGACGAGAAACGATTTATAATTTACTTGGTATTGGCTATCGGTCGAATCCAGGACACTCATTTTGTTTTATTTGAGACTTATCGGCTGAATGTATTTACATCCCAGTGAATGTTGTTTCCACTAAAACTCTAACTTCGTACTACCCATTGCTTTAAACGCTTATCCACTAGGCCACTTGGGCACGATATCTAATTGTTGTACAACGGGTATCGCTTATTACTATTTGTTGACATACTTGTAATTCTCCATTGTGATAGTAGATCGAATTGATCAACCTCTGTTGGCAGATGGGCTTCTATACGGATTCCTTGATATCGCTTGAATATGTATTGTTATAATTGAGTTGACAATGGGATCCAATGGATACCGGTTGCACAAGATGTGGTTATCGTGCTCGAGTGACCTAGTGTGTAAGGCTTTGGTGTTTGTAGCAATGGGTACTGGAGTGCGAGTGTCAGTAGGAACAATATCACTCTCTAGTAAGTCCCTAATAGGATGAAATATGCGTCCTGTATTCCACTGTTAGCTACAACCAATTAAATTATAGCAATAACTATTCAGGCAATATAGAGATATCCTCATAGGAGTCCATATATCAACAGAGGTCGATCGATTTGACCCATTAAATAACAACGGAGAATTACAAGTAGACCAATAAATAATCATAATAAGGGATGACTTATCTAATAGCAGTCTAAAAAACCCCGTCAGGTCATCAGCACACTTGACCGGAAACCTTTAACCACTGGCTTGTTGTCTTTAGAAAGTGGTTTAAGGCACTAAGCTATTTAGATTCTGTTTGTTTTTTTCATGCATTGAATGATTGGCAATCAGCTCTCTACCTCAACTTCATCGACTTTGAAAAGGCCTTTGACCGCGTCGACCGAGAGGTAATTTGGAAACTGCTCCAATACTGCGGAATATCGCAAACCTTTATCAGCCTCATTCAACAGCGATATGACGAGGCCACATGCCAAGTAATTCACAATGGGAAGCTCAGTGATGCTTTTGAAGTGAAGTGAAGACAGGAGTGAAACAAGGTTGTCTACTATCCCCTATGATATTCCTGATTATGGTCGACTGGATCATGCAACAAACAGTGGGGAGCTGTGAGAAGAGGAGGATACGCTGTACCACAGAAAAGAACCTAGAATACTTGGATTTCGCCGACGATGATTTGTGTCTAATGTCACACAAACTAGAAGATCTACAGGCGAAAACTAACAAGTTGACAGAAGAGGCAGGGCAGGGCAGGGCAGGGCAGCGAAGACGGGACTTCAGGTGAATATAGAGAAGACAGATGTGATGAAGATAACCAACCAACCAACAACACCACCACCACCACCAACAACAACAACAACAAGCTCCAATCACCATCAATGGGAGAAACTTAGAGGAAGTAACCTCCTTCACTTATCTAGGAAGCACTGTTTCAACTACAGGCGGCACAGACGAGGATGTCTAAGTCAGAATCGGAAAAGCAAGACAGGCGTTCATTAACCTGAATCCAGTGTGGAGATCTTCTGCACTCAGTATGTGGAACAACATCCAGATTTCCAACACCAATTCAGTCAAGTAAGTCAGTGCTTCTGTATGGCACAGAGACTTGGCGTGTCACGAAAGGCATTTCCAACAAACTACAGACATTCATCAACAGCTGCCATCTACACTGGCTCGTTACTGAAGATCATCAGATGAGATGGCCAGAAAGAATAAGCAAGGAGGAACTCTGGGAACGAAGCAACAAAGAAGCTATCGCTGAACAAATATGCACTGGAAGGAAGTGGAGATGGATTGAATTGGCATACACTGAGAAGGCGGATTGAGGACATCACATGTCAGGCTTGGCTAGGCTAGGCCCTCGAGTGGAACCCCAATGGGAAGCGACGAGTTGGGCGTGTGAGGTGAGGATGACATGGAGGAGATGGTGTGAGGAGGAAATGAGAGGTTGTGGGCTGTCGTGGAACCAGGTTCAAAAGATCTCAGGGAACAGAGGTGACTGGAGACGTGCTACTGAAGCCCTGTGTTCCACTAGGAACCCAAGGGACTAATAATAATAATAATAATAATAATAATTAATTTACTTGGTTGTAGCTAACAGTAGAATTTAGGATGCACCTTTCATCTTTACTGGTTAGATGGATGTACCTGTACCTGCAGTGAGGAGTAATGTTGTTCCCACTGACACTCAAAACTCTTTTACCTTTGAACTGTTTATTCATTATAAAAGTGAAGAGTAGCATAATACTAAAATCATCTAAACATTATTATCATTATTCTATAAATATTACGCTAATATGTGTATATTTGTGTCTTTTGTTCATCTTCCCTTCACATTAATGAAGGATGATATGCCAGGAATACGTAAACGAATGATCTATGAAATATTGACACAGCAACTTTTAACTACAAATTTCAAATTGAATGAATAACCAATGAAAACAATTGTAGTATCTTACTTATCTTATTTTCATTTACCCTTTTTATGTATCTACTTCTTTTTATCCTATCCCGTCCCGTTGCCTCCTGCAACTCCCATCGTTTTCTCCCTTGAGTGTACATGTGAAAAACAGCAGTTTTTATTTTTCAAATACAAATTGATACATTCTTGTTCTATAAGGCATGTCTGCTTACTCAAAGAAGGATAATAATTGTTTATTTGATTATTTTTCAATCAATATGATTATTTTTTTAATGTTCCTCAACAGAGTTTATTGGAAGTTGAAGTGAAGAGAGGAAGTGATGAAGAACTTTTTTTGACCTTCATAATGTGTAAATAGATAGAATTGTTTATTTGTAAGCTTTCACTACGCCTCTGTCGGTTGACTGACACCTATCAATTTCATATGTAGAAGACTTGAATTCAATCGTTTTTTCTTTGTTGACTGACATCAGTTGGAAGGACAATGGAAACCTGAAAGCATTAGACAGCTGTTTCATCCTATTAAGAAACTTCTCAGCAGTGCGCACCCAAGACTCCGCCCCGTCAGGGATCGAACCTGGAACCTTCAGGTTACGTGACCAGCATATTATCATTGAGCTAGCCATTGGGTCGGGATCCAATGGTCCATATTTCCAACTTCTGTCAGTTCACGACACATGTCGTCGCTGAATATTTGTCCTCACGGCCACCAGGTTTCCCCACTGGAACTTCGCGAATCACCTCTCGAAGCTAGTCACCAATGAGCACTAGTTTAATTGAATTTAGGGGTCTGTGGGGATTTAGAGATATTTCAAGTTGGTATTCGTCGTAGACTGACATCACTTGAAGGAATAATAAAAGCCTGGGAGCACTGGACAAAAGTTGGAACCCTACTCAGTGGCTAACTCACTAATAACGTACTGGTCACGGAACCTGAAGGTCGTGGGTTCGATCCCCGGCCTCCCGGTTCATGTGTGCGCAATGCTGAAGAGTTTCATACTAGTATGAAACAGCTGTCCAATGCTTTCATGTTTCCATTGTTCCTCCAACTAATGTCAGTCTGTGAAATAAAAGTTTTTCCCTTTCCAATTGTTTTAATCAAGTCTAGTAGGGTGTAAATTTGGCAAAGATGTCTCTAGTTGACCTCTGTAGTGTGTTTAACGGTTGCACTTTATATAAAAGTGCGGAAATGTGATTTGTGTGAAAACGATACTTAGAGGTTAATGAGGATTTTTAATTTTGAGGTAGTATTCATCATGGACTGATATCAGTTGGAGAACTTGGGAGCATTGGACAATTGTTTTCTCCCAGTATGGGACACCACAACAGTGCACACCCTTGACCCGGCTAGGGATCGAACTCAGGACCTTCAGGTTTTACGGCGAACGCGTTAACTACTCAGCTACTGGGTCGGTACTCAATGCTTCTGAGGAGCCCCGTATTAGGCTGAAACAGCTATTTAGTGCTCCCAGGTTTTCAATGGTTCTCTATTCCGTGATGAATACTACCTCAAAACGATACTCGTCACAAAATTGTTATCAACGCAAAACCTGATGAAAATGAGATGATTAAATTGACCTTCAAGTTGGTCGACAATGTGAGTAAATGAACGACTACTCACCAAAATGCCATTCAACTAATATGAAGACTAGGATTTCGCCGATGATTTATGTCTAATGTACAGATGTACGGGCGAAAACTAACAGGTTGACAGAAGAGGGGAGTCAGCGAAGACGGGACTTCCTTCAAGTGAACGTCGAGAAGACGGGTGATGAAGATACCCAACTAACAACGACAATCACCATGAACGAGCGATATTTAAAGGAAATTCTCTCACCTACCTACCTAGAGAGCATCGTTCCAACTTCAGGCGGCAGCAAAGATGAGGATGTGAAAGTCACGATCAGACAGTCAGCAAGACAGGACCTCATTAATCTGTGGAGATCTACTACACTGCACCCAGCACAAAGGACAAGATCCGGATTTTTAAAACTAACGCCAAGTCAGTGCTTCTATATAGTTCGGAAACTTCGCGCATTCCTAACAAACTACGGATATTCATCAACAACTGCCTACGCTTGATACTGAAGATCGGATGGCCAGAAAGAACAAGCAAGAAGAAACTATGGTCTGGCAACGAATCAAGAAGCTATCGCCCAACAAATATGCAGAAGACGAAATTGGAGATTGATTGGAAATAAACTGAGAGGACCGTTTGCGGATAGCATGCACCAGGCCCTGGGTGGGAGCTAAATGGGAAAAGATGAGTTAGGCGTCGAAGGATGATATGGAGGAGATGTTGTGAGGAGGAAATGAAAGGTTATGGGGAGTCGTGGAGCCAGGTTGAAAAGACTGGAGAGAAGAGAGTGAAATGGCGACATACTACTGAAGCCCTATGTCCCACTAGGAACCCATGGGATATATGATAAGAAAACAATTATACGTCATCGGTTTTTTATTAACGTATGACTTCAACGATAAGAAATCTCAGTAACTATTCGACCAACCAAGTTAAGCGAGCAAACTCACGGTAAATGCGTGTTAGCAACTAAATGACTGTAACTTTTAAAGGGTAAATTGTGAAATAATGCCGGAATGAATAAGTCTATGACTACAGTGAAAGAATAATAATTTCTTGCGGACAGCATGGCGTGGTTGAATGATTTAATGCCCCACCCAAGGAAAGTAATCGATTAACTGGTCACAGTCAGGTTTATGACTAGCATAGATTACAAGACACTCAGTGATTTCTAACGAATGTATATCACTTTGGCTCACTACTTACCATACTACCAACCGTGTTCACTAGGTGATGTTAAGGAAGGTTGTTAATATCATTTCCTCCGGATACTAGACTTTATTTTATCCACCTTAGGTAGTATTTTTGGACAGCGGTAATTCTGGTTTGGTTACCTCTAATTGGCATTTTCTCCATATAAAATGCTAACTCAATTACACAGTCTCTGCAACAGATTTGGAGACTCTGTCCAACATTGAAAAGGACCCTTATAAGCTCAGTGTTATACGTAGCCTCCTATGGATTCTGTGAATAATTTTCACTATTTGTTAAGGGTGTCAACCCACCAGTGAATGACGATAAACCGATTGAACAGCGAAAAGGAGATGGGTGTTTCATTTTTGAAGTAAATTAGCAGGAATATCTACATGTAAAGTATCGTGCCTTTGACACTCGTCAGCAATCCCCACCTACAGTCTTCGGGGAAATCATGTTCTTTCGGAGATTCCAACACACATCAGTAGCCTCGCCTGGTTAACTAGTTCACTAGTTACTAGCCGGTCCTAAGCCCGGGTAAAGAGGGAAGGTTGTGCATAGGGCTAGCAACCCTACCCCGTAAAACAAATCTAACCGCTAAAGAAACTTCAAAGCACAAACAAAAAATGAAAACAAACTTATTCCTCGCTGGAATCGGAGAGGCGAAATGACGCCAGTTGGTGAAAGCCTTCGGGAAGCCAATTGGCCGATGTGTCTTCTCTCGATGAAAGCGAAAGTAAACGTGGGGATATGGAATGTCCGCACCATGTTTGAACCCAGCAAGGCAGCCCAGATTGCAAACGACATGAAGGGGTATCACATTGAAGTGCTTGGAATTTGCGAAAGCAGATGGAATGGGAGTGGACTCTTCAAACTTTCAACTGGAAAATCAATAATCTACCCCAATATTGTCACCCAGACGACAACCATGAGCACACTGAGTTATGGAGTGGCTATCATGATGTCCCCAACAGCATCGAAGGCTGTCAGTTAGTGGGAACCAATCTCCTGCAGGATCATGACGGCATGGTTCAACTCAAAAGGAAGGAAGGTCACAATCATACAATGTTATGCACCTACAAATAATGCAGAGCAAGAGAAAAAAGAGGAATTCTACAGACAACTTCAATCAACACTGGACAAGACCTCAGTTGACGATATCAAAATTCTAATGGGTGACATGAATGTCGAAATGGAACGGGACAACACGGGAAGAGAACTAACCATGGATCGAGAAGCGCTAGGTGAAATGAACGAGAATGGAGAATTGTAAGCAGGATTCTGTGCATTCAACGATTTGGTGATTGCAATGAGGCAGTGTGTCCAAACACAAGGATATCCATGAAGCGACATGGATTTCACCAGACACCAGGACACACTAAAAATCAAATCGACTTCATCTCAATGTGAAGAAAGTGGAGACGCAGTCTACTTGACACAAGGTAAAGATGAGGAGCAGATGTAGGTTCAGACCACTATCTAGTGCAAGGAACCTACCTTCGAAATCAAGTTAAAAGCCTTCAAGGAAGCTGGTGATAGACCTCAATTCAAGTACAACACTCGGAAACTGAAGGATGAAACTACAAAGGAAATCTTCACGGCAGCCAGCCATCAAGACAAAATGGGAGAACAAAATGAGGAACATCTGTGAAGAAACCTGTGTGGAAGAACACTGGAAGTCTTTGAAAGCTATGTGGAAAGAAACCTGCGCAGTCGTATTAGGAAGGAAGAAGGTGGAAGACAAGGAATGGATCTCGACGGATACCTGGAAGCTGATAGAGGAGAGGAGGATGGTGAAGCAGAAGATAAACCAGTGCAATGATGCACAACGAGAAGAGGAACTGAGTACAATGTATAAAACACTACAGTGGACAAAAAAGTGAAGAAGAGTGTACGGAAAGACAAAAGACACTTCTACGAAACACTGGCAAGTGAAACAGAACAGGCTGCAGGTAGGAGAGTCAGAGACCTGACAACATTGTATCAAATAACCAGGTTACTATCGATCTGGGAAGAGATCAACACAGTACAGATGAAACCGATAAAAGATGATGATAGAAATATAATCACCAAAGAAGAGAAACAATGGGCTGATCACTTCAAAAAAACTCTTGAGTCGACCACCACCTGCACTTCGTCCAGAAATACCACCAGCAACCGCTGAACTACAAGCGAACATAAATCCTCCAACAAAAGGGGAAGTCCTGAGCG